TAGTGATTAGATACAACCAAGCCTAGTCAACATGGAAAGATCTTTCAAAAAGCTTTATTGCACTAATCCAGCTTTGACATGTGATCAATGTTCACAAGACCACAATCTGATGATTAGTGAGCCCAAACCAAATTATATGATTCATTACAACTAGGTACTTTCAAAACTGCAGATCACATCACAGGAAAAATCTGTTTCAGGCTTGCTCAAACCTGTCCTATCATTTAACCTGTTACTAAGGTGTTTCTTTTTCCTGTACTGGGAATATTTGATTAATTTTTTGTTGACATATTTAATCAATTTTACACTAATCCTTTCCAACCATACACAATGTATAATTAAATCCTAAATCCAATTCATATAGTTATCCTTAAAAAAATCCAACCCAGGCTGTATACATTATCAAAGCTGCCACAGCTCACTAAAGCTTTCACAGCTCACTAAAGCTTTCAATTCAACAATTAACAAAATAAGGTTAATTTCAAACTTCCATTGTTTCCCACCCAAAATTTCCCTGGATATCATTTATTAACCATGCTTTTTTTTTTTTATCAGACAGGAAAATCCTTGAAAATTGACCATATATTGAAATATTTACATGGACTGACAGACATTTGAAAACTTAAAGGTCATTTATTTTTGTTTTCGTTTTCTGTATTTTATTTTCGTTTTTCAGTTATTTTTAAAGTTGAAAACAAAATTATGTTTGATAGGTTTTTTTTTTTTTTTTGGTTTTTGAAAACCAATAATAAAGTTTTGGGAAGTTTTGAAAATTGTTAAAATTAGAAAAATGGTGTTTCCAATCTTTTAAAAATAATTTGGCACTGTTATAATATAGGTACTGTTCACAAAATTATAATTAAATCACTGTAATGACGTTACATTTATTATATTAATAAAGTAATATTTTTTATTATTTAAATATTATATTAATAAATAATATTATATTAGTTAATAAATAATATTGTATTAATAATTAATTAATTAATTGATATTATTATATTATTAATAACAAATGAAATCTAAAAATTTTAACACCTTTTTCTTATATTTTTTGGTTTCATATTTTTAAAATAAAAACATTTTATTCAAACATATTTTCAAATTTAATAAATTAAAAATAAAACAAAATAAAAATTTTAAAAACATAAAACACACTCAATAATAGCAAACGACCCAAGTTATTCACATTGAGGCCTAGTTCGTATGTTGAATGTGCAAAGTCAAATAAATCTCACCATTTAATGCTAATATTGTTACTTCTTGTCTTCTGAAAATCCCCTGGTTTCATTCAATCCTGGGAATGCCTATGGGAATTTTGACTACTCTAACCAAACCAAGGCAGCATTGGTCACAGCCAAGAGGACAGTATTGCTTTTCTGTTTGGCTTAATGATATTTTGAGCATCAAACTATTGGGAAAAAGAAAAAAAAAGATATTTTGGCTGCTCAAGGTCCAAAACCATCATTATTTTTCTGTTTCCCTTGCCTTTTGTTTTAGGTTTTGTATTTAATTAACGGAAACACCTGCATTAACAGTGAGAGAACAGGAAAATCAATGTTTTGGTGGCTCCATTTAGGCGTTTACAATATTTCTGTCCATCACAGTGTTAATATGAATATTTGGGACTTTAATGCCTTATCAATAGAAATGCTACATTCTTTATTTTCACTAGTTCAATAATCAATAACATCCCAGAATCAATTTTTAAAGATGCACAAAAATACAAAAATATCAGACTTTAAAACTTAACTCGATTTATGGAATCACTTTAAGTGACATTCAATAGGTTTAAAGCTTCCCTATCTTCAAGCTACAGTCTCAGCTGTTAAAAATCTCAGATTTATTCACTTTAAAAAATAAAGAAAAGAAAACAAGCAGTCTCATTAAAGGGACAGCATGTAGTGGAGTGGGGTACTAAGAACTAAAAAGTTTTATGGTTTCCCCATGTGAGCCTAACAAAGACAACTCTATTTTGGGGAAGTTCATTTAATTTTTTTCATCCCCTAAGTTCAAGTTTGTTAGTTATTTCTAAGTTTTTAAAATGTAATCCACGAGTGTTAGTCTGAGTTGATAAAAATTTTATAAAAAAAAAAAAAAAGAGTTTTTTTCATGTTAATCAAAAATCAATCTCTATAATAAAAAATTTTAATTTTAATTATTTGGTATGATCACATATGAAAACGTCGTCTCTATTACAACTCACATGTGATTAACTACTTAATCATGTGTCATGTGATCATTATTTTTTTTTTCACAAAATCAATTTATTGGAATGCGTAACACCAACGTTTATATGTCCAACAATATTTTCTTTCTTATTCTATATGAGATTAATGTAGTCTACTTACTCTCTTTGAATACTTGGCATGACATATGGCTTTTCCCAGCAATTTCGTATGATATCAAGTTTTCCAAGCAGATTGATTGTGATATTGTTGATATTAATATATATTTTGTAACAATGTATCTGAAGAAATGAAATTTCTAGTATTCCATGTCAGTAAGACCATTATTTAAAATCTGAGTATATATATGAATCATTAGACATTAATCATGAATCAGCTGCAGCCATGAACCAAACAGATCCAAAGCAAGCACCAAAGTACTCAAGTTTCAAACACTGCTAAGTTTAGATACTCAGCAGTCCGAAATATCAAGATGTGATTTATTCTGTCTTAGCAAAATAACAAATGAAATCATAGGACAGGATCTTTTTTGCGGGGTTAGCCTTATTTCAAGTTCAATGCGTACTTCCAGCGAATCAAAATTTATTTGGTATATAAGAGAAAGTGTTGTGGGTAGTAAGATTTGAATCTCAATTTCATTAGATATCATTTTTCAAAGATGGTACATGAACTAACTGAACTAAATTTCGAATTCACTTCCAGGTAACGAAGATGAAAAACTAACTAAATAACCAAGATTAACATCAAAGAAGATCGAAACTACACATGGTTAAAAATGGAGGACCAACAAAATTCCAGTCGTGGATTACAAACAAACTGCATACGGAACCGGAATCCACTAAAACAAGAGAGCTATTTACTTCTGCATCGCCAGTTGCCGGCAGAGAACATTTGCTGTTTGTCCATGACCAAGAGAAAACCCATCCATAGCTGCCCAAATATGCTTTTACCGCTAAGGCTTATCATTGGATATTAAACTGACAGAAACTGGCAATATTTGTATTAGGCTGAAGCATTTCAATTATTTCAGTTCCTATTATGCATCTTATCTGTGTCTTTTGACTTGCTAAATAATAACTTTAAACATCCTAAAAAATACTTTCACATATAGGAGAGGACCGGATGCTTATTGCAATTTGCATAGCTACTTGCCAATTTTCCTCCTTCTATCAGAAAGGATAGGATGCTTTATGCAAGTGATTGGTTAACATATCAAACCAGGATAAACTAAAACAGCAAGAGTATGAACTTGAGACCCCAAGAGTCGCAACACGTCCTTTTATCACTAGACTGATACCTCATTGGCAATTCCATCAATGTTCTCAAACACAATTTGACATGAGATCATTAGCCTGTAGATACATGTTACACATTTTTAGTTTTACATAACGAAGCTAGTGATCCATAAAACTTTAACCTAACTTCTATTGGATACATGTGATTTGGTGAGTCCTGTACTGCTAATAAATTTGTATGAGCTTTCATTGCTTCATAAATCTTATCTTGGTTGTATTGATTACTTGAAATTCAAATGATCATCAGATGAATTTCAATGAAAGAAAAAAAATTACTAGTACGTATACATTATTGAGTCTATGATTATCTAATATGGTAGTAGTATCTTTTTGTTTTCAAAATTTTTGGCTCCAAGGTGGGTGAAGAGAGCATAAATCTCATCAAAAAGATTGGAAGAAGACAAAAAAGCAAAGTGAAAATGACATTCTGCAGGCAATCCTGTACGGTACCAATTGATGTCTTGTAGCAATAACATGGGTTTATGGGTCAATAATGTTTGGTCTATAGACTTTCGTGAAAATTAGAAAGGAAAAAGAAACGAAGTACTATATAAATATATATACTCCATAGTCCACTGTTCTTCCAGTAAGATTATTCCTTTACTCAAAGGGATGCTTACCCATTACAGTAGGCCTTTTCCACAGGGCCTAAATATCTATATCATTCAAAAATGGATTGAAATTTGAAACTATATAACAGCTCGAAGATTCCTGATCCTAGCTGCACAGTATGTTTTATGCACTTTCATTGACAACTCATGTTATCAAGGGGCATAACAGTTGCACCCTGAGAGATGACAATTTTTTTCCCCCTTCCCATCCCACATCTGGGTGTATTTAGCCATGCAAAAGACATAAGTAGGTACAGGAAGTTTTGTCTCATACTTGTGGTAGGTATTGTTAGGATGACAAAGTTTTGTCTCCTTGGATTTTCTCCTTAAACATATTAAACAAGCAATCATCAGTCACAGCAGAGCCACTACTCAGTGTTTAAAATAGTTTGAACATAAACAACTTCGCCAGTAACTATCAACTTCGAACAATAGTGACAGTTCTTCTACTGGATGAAACTTGACATTCTGCTGCCATACCATACTGAAGAGTTTTTCTCGGTTCTCCTGTGCTGGCACCCAATAAGAACAGAGAGAAAAATATAGAATTTGAAAAATTGCCAAGAAAAGGTATGATCATTTATCATAAAGTGGATTCCTTGTTAAAATCTCCAACTAGATGTAACCTTGAAATTATAGCATGTAGAAATATGATTCCCCTACATTAGGACAGATCTGATTTTCCTACATTAGTGCAGTATGATTTCCTAATTTATTTTGAAAATATTTCTCATTTACTCTTCTGATTTAGTCAACTATTTTGATTGTCAAGATTTTAGAAATTTGTTTCTATTTTTAAATAGAATAATTCTTTTTCCTTTAATCATTTTTTGTTTTTTGTTTCATGTAAGTTGTTTCCTAATAAGGAACTTCATTGTTCCTATTTATTTAGATGTACGCCTTTATTGTAGATAGAATAAGAAAAATAAGGATAATTGTTCTTTAAGTTTTTACATGGTATCAGAGCAAGTCAGCCTAAACTATTAGACTATAGCCACATGAGTTTCCGTTATGGCTAGCAGGAGTGAGAACTCTTCTTCTGCAAAAGTATGGGATGAGGAAAGTCATAAAGAGGTGATGTTCCAACAAACCCTTCAAAACAAGTTTGCAACTTTTGGAACTAGTTTACTAGCATAAAAAAGTAATTTCCTAAACGCCTTAAGTGTTCAAATGGGAAATATACAATCTTGGATTGTTGATTCAGGAGCATTAGATCACATAACAGGAAATGCATCCTTAATCAACACATATTGACCTTGCTATGATAGTTCTCTGTAAAAATTGCTAATGGCTCTCTCTCAAAGGTGAAAGGATAGTTCTATTGTAGTTTCGAAAGATAACACTCAACTCTGTCCTTCATGTCCCCAATTTATGTTATAACCTACTTTCTATCAGTAAGCTTATGAAAGATAAATGTTATGTCACTAAATTTTTTCCCAACTTTTATGAATTTCAAGAATTATGCGTGGGGAGGATTATTGGCATTGCCAGGATGTGTGCAAGGGTCTACCTTCTTCAAGATAATGTACTTGAGAGATAAAAAAACTCTTGTACAACTTTAGCCTCTAATACTAGTAAGGATGACCTTATCATGTTATGGCATTATAGATTAGGACATCCAAATATTTCATACCTAAAAATCCAAATATTTCATACCTAAAAATGCTATTTCCCTCATTATTCAATAACATCTCTAAAGATTTTCAATGTAAAATTTGTCAATTTTTCAAGCGCACTCAAAATACCTACCGTAACCTTTCCTATAAATCATCTTAGTCTTTTCTAAATGATTCATAGTGACATTTGAGAACCATCAAAAGTTAGCAATATCACAGGTTTTAGGTGGTTATTACATTCATTGATGATCATACTCGACTCACTTAGGTATTCCTTATGAAAGAAAAATCCAAAATTAGCCAAATCTTTCAAAACTTCAATAACATGGTACAAACCCAATTCCAAGCCAAAATCTAAGTGTTAAAAACTAACAATGGAAAAGAATACTTCAACTCTATTCTCGGTCCTTACCTCACCAACCATGGCATTATCCATCAAAGCTCTTGCGTTAACACTCCACAACAAAATGGGGTTGTCGAACGCAAAAACAGATATTTGATTGAAGTGACCAAATCCCTCTTGTTGACTTCCAATGTACCTAAATGTTTTTAGGGAGAAGTTGTCCTCACTGCAACTTATTTAGTTAAACGAATGCCTTCTCAAGTTCTTGGCTATAAAACACCTTGTCAAACTCTCATTGCTTCCTACCCACAAACTTGGTTGATCTCTTTCATTTCCATCAAACTCTTTGGTTGCATTACCTTTGTTCATATTAGCCAACAAAACCGCAGCAAGCTTGATCCCAAAGCCTTAAAATGCATCTTTCTTGGTTATTCCCCAAACCAAAAAAGCTATAGGTGTTCCTCACACCAAAGAGCTCATACATACATATTGGACATCACTTAAGCCCAAAAACTTAAGCTACAGGGTTCTTAAGCCCTCCATATATATATATGGGACATCTCATTCAGATTTTTAATAATGTGAGATTTTTCACTCACATGTGAACCTTATCCTAATAATCTCCCTCGTTCAATTGTGAGTTTTGATCAAGTTCCACCTTGGCTCCCCCATGCAAGTAAGTCCTATAAACACCTTCTTTGAGCTATGTAACCTCACATCTCTAGTGTGCTTTTAGGCTAGTTTACAGCACTCAACATTGTCGCTTAGGTTGTCTTAGTGCCCCTTCAAGCTTGCATTCCAAGTTTACTCAATAAATCGCCCACTTGGGTGTTCCGCTTTTACATATTATCATATATTTGTTGCATCCAAGTCAAACTTTTCACTCTGATATTGACATTCGAGCACTTAGAGTTGATGGACACGGCTAACCTCCGATCTGCCAACAATTCAAACTGTGACATCTATGACATTGTTTTATTACAATAAGGCTACTATAAGTATTGCCAAAAATCTTGTTTATCATGATAGGACCAAGCACATAGAGCTAAACCGACATTTCATAAAGGAAAAGATAGAAAAACTGGCCTATATCCCTACAAGTTCACAAATTGCAAATATTCTGACTAAAGCTCTTCCTAGAAGCATTTTTGACATATTGAAATCCAAGATGAGTATGGCTAACATTCATAACTCAACTTGAAAGGGAGTGTAAAAATCTAATTCCCCTACATTAGTGCAAATCTGATTCTCCTACATTAGTGCAACTTGATTTCCTAATTTATTTTGGGAGTATTTCTCATTTACTCTTTTGATTTAGTCAACTATTATGATTGTCAAGTTTTTAGGGATTTGTTTCTATTTTAGAATAGAATAATTCTCCTTCCTTTTATTATTTTTTGTTTTCTCTTTCATGGAAGTTGTTTCCTAATAAGAAACTTCACTGTTCCTATTTATTTAAATGTACTCCTTCATTATAGATAGAATAAGAAGAAATAAGGACAATTGTTCTTTAAGTTTTCTACATAGTCCAATAACAAAACCTCTGGCAACTCATGCAAACACGATGGGGGCATTATTCCAATATCATAAATCAAGAGCTTAGTTCAGTTGGTTCATGTAACCACCTTTAAGAGGTAACATCTAATAAGTTTAAGTTCAAATCCTAGCACTTGCTTCCCCAATCCCCAAGCTAAGGCTTACTATGTATTAAAAAAAAAAAAAAGACAAGCAAGGAACTTGAAGATGATAACATAAAACCCCAAAAACTTTCAGGGAGAACAAAGAAAAAGAACACTCAACTAATTCTTTTATCAATCACGGAATGCATAACATAACCAAACAGTACCAGAATCATGGAATGAAAGAAGGTAAATACTAAGACAGCTTAAGAGTAATTCAGGAATATTATGATATCCATGCTAAATACTAAGACAGGTTTAAGTGTAATTCAGGAATTTTATAATATCCTTGCTAAATACTAAGACAGGTGAAGAGTAATGCAGAAATATTATAAAACTTTTTTTTTATCGAAAGTCAATGTGAAAGGCTTGATTCTCTAGCCATGAGCACAAATACAATCATATCCATCCAATCAAATACAGCAAATCATTTATCAGACCTATGTTATTGACAAAAAGGAGTAAACTCAGCCCATGCTTTCATTAAAAGTGTGTTTTTAACATATAGTGAGAGTGGAAATCCAGCTTTAAAGGAAAAGGTTAAGACTCCCACACAAACACAATGTCTGTAGCATGTCGTATCACTCTGTAAGTGGTTTCACACTTTGGAACACACTTCCATTAAAAGTGTGTTAGTTGCAGCAGTCAAGTGACAGATGCATGGTACAGGATCCTGCATCTGCATCAGAGTGCCAGACTTTGTCAGGCAGCATTTATGTAGCGAACTACCATATCATCACTACCTCTACACCAAAAGTTAAACTTCACACTAAACTAAATCTAATAAATGCTGAACAAGATTACAAAGTCCAGCATTAATCTTGTAAGAAAAGATCCTACCATTGCATAAGCTAAATATCCTAGTTATTATCTTCAATTAGGCTTTATCTTCTTTGCTTGGTCAAATAAAAGGCTTTATCAACCTGGACGTCATTGCAGACAAACGACATAATGATGACATAGACTAATGAACTACTAACATGTATGAATGGCAAATACCGTTTACCAATTTCAAAGAGAAGTGATATAGACGTTGTCAATATGCTAAAGGTCCGAATTCGAAACTAAGCTGCAGAAAGCAGTACACATGATGCAACCTGGTAAAATCAACAATTCATAATGTTAAACATCAAGAAAACTATTTAGCAACCCAAGCCAATAGAGATGGATTCCTATTTTGATTGCATATGAGCAGGAAGTGTCATCAAATTTGCTTAGCATGAAACTAATCAAGAAGACCATATTGATAATTGCTTGTCAAATTAAGCATTTGCAAGATACACAATGCGAAGACCAATAAGTCAGGCCAAAAAGTATAGAAAGCGGTGATCCTGAACAAAATCCCATATTAGCATGCTTGTAGAAATAAAGTAACATAAGTAGGTTTAAGAAAAAGAATACTGGTAAGTAGAATACAGGATTACTTTTAATGATTTGGTTAAATACTTTAGCATTCAGTCGCAGCAGTAAAACCACCATTTTATTACTATTATGAAATAGTAACATAATCGAATTCCATTTGCTTATTTGAGGAAGTCAAAACTAAAATACAAGAGATTAGCTGCAGTAGTAGCAAGTAAAAAACTAATTACAAGGACAGAAAACTTCGCAATCTGCTCTTTATAGCTTCAAAATCCAAATTATAATGCATGGTGAACTCAATATATATACCAATGACATGTTTCCAAACACTCAAACCAAGATAGCAGATTGATAAAAGGTATGAAGCGATCCAAAATATCTTCTCCCCATCCAGTATAGAATCTGATCATTCATGGTAAAACATATCCTCATCAAGGTCAGAAGTCAGACTCACATAAAAGATATTAGATGCAACAGTGACAACTAAAAACTCATTACATTAATGGGATTCTTTACAATTTCCACAATTCAAGTTAACTAGATATCTGGACAAAGATAAAAGATTAATAAAAAGGATTGAGGCAATCCATTTTTTAACCCTGTGGTTATGTAATGCTAAAACATACTCTCAACAAAAAATGAAGGCAAGAAAAAGACATGATAAGGAAGTAAATTTCAAATTGGCCTGTAAAGCAACATATTAAGTTGCAACTAAGAATCCATCATTAATTACTAATTATAAAACCTACATTAGCAGCAAATCATGTAAACACATTTTTGGAATTGTAACATAAAGAAAAAAAAAAAAAAACTAACACTGTCATAATGGCCCCTCCAAATCTCATGCCTCTGCGGTACTCCCAAGTCCAAATGAGAAATGTTCACGAACAGGTGAAAACTCCACCAATCCAATATCCATTGCGTATCCAGAAACAGGCAACTTCAACTCTCTCAACACACAAAAAGCCTCAGCCATTCTTGTTTTTGGCACTTCCTGAGCTACAGCACAATAGGGAATCCAAACGTCAGCTTTAAACTCTTCTCCAATTTCAATCCCTTCCTTTTTAACTGCCTCACATAATTGAGCCTGTAACTGTAAAAGGGCCATTGTTGGAACTGGTGAAAGAAAAAGAACATTTTTTTCATTTGGGAAAGTCCCAATTGAAGAAAAAGATAGAGCTAAAGGTTCTTGCTTTGAAGCAAAAGACTTTACAACAGATTCAAGCTTGGCAGGGTCAAGAAAAGGGCTTGAAAAGAGAGTAATGTGAGGTCTTGACTCAATTTCAATTAACTGAGTGCTGATTTGACGACGAGCCAAAACATTCCAAGCTTTCAAGACTTGGTTTTCAAGTGCCGGATCAAAGTAAAGCTCAATTGAAAAGCCTTGTGACATTGAACCTTTGACGAATATAAAAGGAACCCAAATTTTAAAAGGGAGATCTAAGAGTACCAAGATGATGAAAATAGGAACTTGAAGAGAAATGGAGGTGAACCAGTACGGGGAAAAACCTCAAAACCCTAGAAAGAACATGGGAAATGAAAGACACCCAGATTAGATTTGGTGTTGTAAAGGCCAAAGAAGAAGAAATAAAATGTGAAATAAAATGCAAATTGTTATGGTTTTTTCAAAGAGATAGATAATAAAGAGACGAACTTTAATTATCCAAAAAAACATAAATAAAGAAAAAGAGAGAGAGAGAGAGAGAGTCGCATTATATTTGGATTCCAGATATAGGAGTCTCGTTTACAAGTGAGGTATATTTCATATTAATAATTTATATAATTATTTAAGTTTAATTCAGCGTGATATTTTGGATTTTAAAATTTTTTAAAATTTAATTTAAATTAAAAAATTTTAAGTTTATTAATTAAATTTAATTTATATAATAAAAAATTATAAAAATATAATTATATATACTTTATTCAGGACTATGAGTTTTAATTATTTTATTCAAATTTTGATTTAAAATTTACATGAGTATAAAAGTTACATTCAAATTTATTTACCAAATTTTAATTTTTTATTTAAATTCTTTTAAAATTTGAGTGAATTTTCAAAATTTATTGAGATAATCTCGCCAATACATTTAGTCTTGATTTTCTTTAACAATTTCACGATGAAAATTAAAAAGAATTTAAATAAAAAAAAGTGGTGGTTATTTTCTATTTTCTTGTTGCTTGTGACAATTTTTTTTTTAACCTTTCTGGGGTTATACCAAACACTATATAAGTTGTAAGTTGGAAGATTTTTCTTTTTAAAATTAGGAAAAGAACGTATCAGTTAAGCTAGAGTTGTATCCATTTTGATTTATTTTATTAGTGGTAATAAATAAATAGATCTTAAATTTTAGTTTGACTTCTAGTGGAACTTTAATTTTGGATTTTATCTCAATTCAATTTAGTAAATGTTTAAGCACAACAGTTAAGCACAAACAATAT